TGTACATTTTTGTTCTTATTTGTCATTATTTTTCAAATAATGGCATAGTACACATACTTTATAATTTATGAACAGTTGATCATAAATTAGATCATAAAGATATATTTCTCTAGCAAATAGATTATGACATTTACTTACATTTCTGTGATTATTACTGACACTGGACATTTTTTATGTTATTGACTTATTTTATTAACTACTTTTAATGGAACAATAAACACATGTGCATAGCGAAAAAACTTGTTAACATTATAAGACAAAATACAGTGAATGATTTTTCTCCCTTGAGGTAATCACCGATGTGTCTCTTGCATATCTTCCCAGAAATGGTCCAAGTATATCAAGCATATAACCCACCCCCACTTTAAAAAAAAAATACAGTTGTTAGCTTACTGTGCACACTGTCCTGATTCTTTTCACTTAATGTAATATCATAGAAATCTCAGCTGCATGCATAGATTTACCTCCTTTTTATCAGAAGTATTGTATTCTGTGGCTTGGCTGTATGAGGACTTATTAAACACTCCCTTGTTGACAGTAGTTTGATTGCAGGATGTTTTCAGCTTTTTGCTGTTACTAACAACTCTAGTAAACAATTTAGTAAATATTTTTGCGCTTGGATATCAGTAGAATTATTGGCTTAGCACTTAATCACGTGCATATACATTTTGATGGATACTGCTGTGTTGCACACTATTCCAACATACGTTCTCATAATGAGTGCAAGGCCATGGTGGGATTTCCCGTACCCTTATCAGTGTTGAAATTATCAACATTTTTAATCTTGGTAATCAGTGGTGAGAAAAGTAGAATAATGTTAGGAGCTTGGATTTGCGTTCCTTTAATTATGAATAAGATTCTTCATATACGATTATATGCCATCACTGTCACTTTACTTTTTGTGACAGTGTGATCCTGACTTTAGGAAAAATGTTTCTCATTAAAATGGGACATACTTTTGGCCTAGTTTTATTTTAATGGAAGCGCTGCTGGATATTAGTATCTTATGCTTTAGAAGTGAAAGTTTAGAAAGGACTTCAGAAGTGATTCAAGAAAGAAGAGTCCAACCACTTTCACTTCCAGATTCATGAATTCACATTTTCCTGATTTGCTTGACGGAATGATTAGAGGTTAGAGTGGTTTGCTTTGATTTTTGTTTTTTAAAGATTTTATTGATTTATTTGACATAGCGCCCATGCACAAGCGGGGATTGGGGGGAGCTGCAGGGAGAGGGAGAAGCAGGCCTCCTGCTGAGCGGGGGGGAGGGGTAGTAGCAGGTCTCCATCCCAGGACTCTGGGATCATGATCTGACCCGAAGGCAGCTGCTTAACCAACTGAGCCCCCCAGGCGCCCCTGGTTCGCTTTGGTTTTGATGCAGGTCGGGCTTAGCAGGCTATGTGGGAGAGAAGAGATGACTTTTAAAGTTCTCTACAGACGGAATCCTTTTAGGCAATGGTGTTCTACAGTGTTGACGGTAGCATCATTTGAAATAACAGGATGAAGTGGAAAGGGCCTTTTCCTGGACTTCACACCTTGCCGCTCAGGACCCCTGACAAGTTCTCTCCGGCGATGCTGGTGGGGCTTCTCATCCGGGTACTCTGTCTTTGCATTTGTTACAGCCTGTGTGTGGAGAGAACACCGGGCGTCTTATCCTAATTCTACAGTGCATAAAACCTGTGGCCTTTTCTTCTGGGTGGTTTTTATAACACAGCTGGTTTTAAGTCTTCCCAAACTGAAGTTTGAAAAGAAAAATGACACCGCGAATCATCTCATCTGGTCCTTTCCAAATATGAATTTGTTTTTATTTATTTTTTCTTTTTTTTTTTTTAAGATTTTTTATTTATTCACTTGACAGAGAGAGATCACAAGTAGGCAGAGAGGCAGGCAGAGAGAGGAGGAAGCAGGCTCCCCACCGAGCAGAGAGCCCAACGTGGGGCTCCATCCCAGGACCCTGGGATCATGACCTGAGCTGAAGGCAGAGGCCTTAACCCACTGAGCCACCCAGGTGCCCCTGTTTTTATTTTTTTTTTAAAGATTTTATTTATTTATTTGATAGAGATCACAAGTAGGCAGAGAGGCAGGCAGAGAGACAGGAAGGGAAGCAGGCTCCCTGCTGAGCAGAGAGCCCCATACGGGGCTCAATCCCAGGACCCTGAGATCATGACCTGAGCCGAAGGCAGAGCCTTTAACCCACTGAGCCACCCGGGTGCCCCATGAATTTGTTTTTAAATGAATGTTTAAGTACATTTCATTCAGGTATTCATACCTGAGTAAAATTCGGCACTTTTTAGCTCTTACAGTAATATTAAGCACAATGTCTTGCATGTGGTAAATATCCAGAAAGTCTTTGTTAATGAGTCAGGTCAGTGTAAACCGGCAGCATTTTCTCTTCCCAGTACATTATTAAGTCTTTCCACTGAGATATACTAATTTTTTTCCAGTTGTACATTCCTGTTATAGCTTCAAATTGTAACTATTTTATAGCTAAATTAAATTTGATGGTAATGGTTGGTTAGTAACTAAAATCCCAACCAATAGATACAAATCTACTCCTAGCATGTGCATATATATATACATATTATATATATATATATATATATATATATATATATATATAATTAATTATAGGTGTTTTAGGCTTGTGAAATTAAAATACTGATTTTCTTTTTTAAAAGATTTAGATTTAATTGATGATGAAGGGAAAAAAGCTCAGCTGATCTCTGCTGATTGTTAAGTTTAATGACTGCTACCTGAAAATTGTATGTGAAGGTTGAAATACTCCCTTACTCCCACTAGAGGGGGATTCCTTCCAACTTAGGTAAAGTGTTCTTAGATCCAACATGAAAACCTTTGTATGACATTGATCCTCATTTTTTATGAAATTGGAGTTAATTTCATGTTTTTAAAATCAACTGTTTTTGTGTCGGACTTGAAATATAAAGTCCTTCAGAAACGGAAAATACAAAATACAGTTCAGTAGAACTGGAGTGCATGTGTATTAAACCATAGTGCTTTTGAATAAAACAAAATACACTTTTTAGGTTGGTCTGATGAAATTGGTTAATACTAAGGAATCACAAACCTCCTCAACCTTCCTAGAGATAGGACCTGGGGTGGAGGATGAGGCTGACCTTTTGAGATCCACCTCCTTCCTCCAGTCTCCAAGGCCTGCCTGTCTGTGTGTCTGTCTAATGACGTAGCCACACGGACAGTTCCTAAATTCCACATGAAAACTTTGGTTTCACTGTTATCTCAAGTGTTCAAATATATCGAAGCCATATCTTTAAATTGATTTCTATTTGCTTTTGAATTTTCTTGCTACTTTGACTTTTATAATATGTTAAGCAAACACAGAACTCCCTTGGGAATGGTTTTTGCAGATTTAAACTTCTAATATATTGTTAAATAATTGTGTGTGTGTGTTAAAATATCACATCAAAAGGGTGAGTGTACCTAACATTAATATATGCAGATATGATCTATGTATATAATTTAAGAGTAAATGTCATATGATGTTTACTTTAGTTAAGGTTCAGCGAATTTGTTGTTTGTCCTTGGCTTTAACTAAAGTCTTCAATGTTGATTAGAGGTTTCAGTGTAAAACTGTTTGAGGTTAGTAAGCTAGTATTGTGAAAGACAGGATTTAGGAAATTCAAACATGTAAATTGCCAATAAACTGTTGCTTCCCCCTCCCCCACCCTGAAACAAAGTCTATAAGATGATCTTGCTTCTAACTTTAACAATTAGCTTTGGAAATCAAAGTGTTAACAGACATACTACCAGTGAATCTTACAATGATTTTGTACTACAGTTGACCCAACATTTCATGTTTGGTATCAGCAACATATGGTTTTCATCAAAATGAGGCTGGTCATCTTCCCAATACCTAATCATGTGTTTCTCTTGCTTTATGCCCCAGTCTCTATCAGGTACCAGGTGGTGGGGGAGCCTCACTTTCAGCCAAGCAGTTGGAGAATACAATTTCTTGCTCATTTCTCTTTTGACCCCTTTACTTTTGTACTGGATGACAATCTTCCTGAAATGATCTTCCTTTCTGAATTTCCTTCCCTCAAGGGAAGAATCCAATTTTGTTTTATAGCAAGATACATTCGATAGGCCTGTATGCCTTCTGCTTAAACACCTACCACAAAGGCCTGATTTTAAAAGGTTGAAAACTCACAGTGTAGCCGGCAAGTCTGATATTAGTGCCCCGCCCCCTGTCTTCTGCAGACACTTAAAAATATTCATATTCCGTTGCCTTCTTTCCTTGCTCTTTTCCATAATACATTGGTACTTTGTAGTAGTCAAAGTTAAAAGCTCTACAAACCAGACTGAATAATATGTTTAAAAAACAGTAATTATCAATACACGTCTTGTTCCATGCAGCTTTTTAAATTCATGTTAATGAGCTCTGTCTTCTCATGCACAAGACTGACAGGCAATTTTGAAGTTTTGCCATCATTTCACAACTTGTTGCTTAGACTCTGCCTGCCTTTTCCTGAGTATTGCTTCCAGGCACTCTTGCTCTGCAACATTCCAGAGACTCAGGACTACCCACTCTGATGGGAGCGGGACAAGAAATTACTAGCAGCTTCATAAGCATGATGAAATTGCTTTACGAAGCATAACTTTCCCCTCACTGTCCGTAAAAGATCACAACATATATGCAGCATCTCATGATTTAACTGAGAAAGTTGATTCTTCTGACTTCTAGATCATTTTGAGGAACTTACACCACCACTTGGACATGATGGCAAATGCATTAATTTGATAGGCGCTCGCCCTGTTTTAAATCTGGAGCCCAGGGCAATGACCTGTGTTTATCCCCAGTCAACTCTTGAAGAGAATCCCAGATCTTTCTTTCTTGATGCCTGACGTAAATTGAATACCAGTTTTCTCCAGACTCTTAGTTCCAGGCCATGCCTGTGCTCTGGCATCTGCGGCTAGACTCGAAGAACATTTTTGAGAGTGCCTAAATTATTTTTTCCTTATGATTTCAGGTTGAAGTCTTGACCTCGGAGGATACCGCCTTTGGACTCAAGGTGTGTAGTCTGATGTAGCTTTTTGGGTAGGTTTCATCAGCTCCCGCGAGTGGATCGGAAGCCTCAACAGATAGAACTTGTTTTTATTATCAAATGCAGAGGTTCTAGAAATCTTCCAGAGTTCAAGATGTCCCCTCTGTTGTCATTCAGATTAGACTATGGTAGTATTTCCTTTACCTTCTTTCTCTGATGTCGGGAATATAAGAAACAGTACAGGAAACAAGAATTTCATTTGGTAGTAACTGACCTTTAAGTTTGGATTAGCTGGGGAACAGGATCTACTCAGTGGCTCCCAGTCCAGGGGGGGCACTGCAGTGCCACCCGGAATATTACGGAAGCACTATTTCGGTTTGCCACTCGACTTTCGTTAATCCATTTATTTGTTATCCCTGCTTCACATATTTTTTGAGTCCCCCTGTTCCAGTCACGACTAAATTAAATCTCAATTCCCGCCCTTCAGTTGCTCACGATCCGTTGGGAGGCCTATAAAGAGATCAGTTGTCCTGTAGCGTCCTTGCCTCCCTGCCAGAGCTATGCGGAGGCTCGAAGGAGTGGGAGGAACCGAGTGGGAAGGCATTCTAGGAGCTTGATCCCTTGAGAGAGTGGATTATATTTAGGCAATCGAGGAGGACAAGAGAAACGAGAACTATTTTCAGGTCAGAGGACAACCGTGAAAAAATCGGAGGGAGCTAAAAGTAGTTAAATTTTGCCTGTGTGATAAGATCGGAGGTTGAGGAGGTTAAAGAGTTGAATTTTATCCTATAGAAAATGTGAAGCTGTTAAAAGATTTTAAGCCAAGTAGTGGTTGGATTTACAACTTAGGTGATTTTGGCCACCTTGTGGAGGATGGATTTGCCAGAGACCAAAGAAGGGCCTTTGAATGCATCAGGGGAAGGGCAGTGCAGACCTGAGCCAGCAGAGTGGGAGAGGAAAGAAGTCCTTAGGCAGTGAGTCTTCGGGACCTGGTGATCACTGGGGTATGCAGGATGAGGAAGAAGTAGGAGCCGAGAATGAGCCAGAAGAGGAGATGGTGGGTTCCATGGAGAAGGAGCACGCAGTGGAGCAGTCACAGATGTTAGAATCACAGTCTTCCAGACCTGTTGGGTTTTTATCGGATTGACTTGCCTTTTGGACATATTTGCTAGTAATTCTTAAACTGTGAAAGTAAATTGGTAAGAGGCACTTAACTGGGGATCCTGACTTCATTTTCACGTAGAGGTACAGAAGTACAGGGTAGGGGCCATCCATTACTTTGGAAGTCAGAAGCTGAGAACAGCTGTTGGAAACTTGAGAGCACACGGTGTGGGTGATGACTCCTCCTGACTCCTCCATGTGCTCCATCTTTGGCATAAAACGAAACATTAGTTGTATTTTTTCCAATTTTTTCTCTTCTTTCCATTCTGGATACTTGGCATTTTATTAGGACAGATTAATAGTTGTGCTGCAATTAGAGGTGGATGACATTGTAATACTACCAAAATCAAAGCCGTCCTGAGGTTATAAGCTTAGCAAGGTTTACATCATAAACGAATACAAATTAAAAATAAAAAGATAAGACTTTATAAATACTGAAATATGTGGTAAGCGAACTCAAGTTTTGCCTTAACACATTTCTTCTATTTCTGTATCTGTCAAAAGTGACTAAAGAAAATTCTAGTTAGAAATAGAGCTAATTCAGTAATATTTGCTGTGTTTAACATATCGTCATCATTGGAATTTTTCATTTTTTTATTTAATGCCCAGCATGCATGCAGCATATTCATTGCATATTTGATAAACCTGTAGGGTCAGTTCTTGTGAACTCATCTCCATAATCCTTCATACTTACTGAGTCGGCGGCAGTATTACGAAGATTATTGTACCAGCAGCTCTCATGGTCCACCCCACTGTGTAAAAGGCTTTGCATTTGTTTTATGGCTAAACTAGCAGATTGCTTTTGCAGTCTTCAATTCAATTTGTAGAGACAGTAGTTTGAAATTTTTCCTGATAATTTAGTGATTTTTCAAAGAATCGGGAGTTTTCCACCTTTGCGTATGGTTACCCTGGTGTTGACATTTGTAACTAAAAATGAGAAATTTGAATTTTTGTTACTGCTTCATTATCTGCATGTCAGCAAATACTTTTTTAAAAAAGATTTTATTTAATTATTTGATAGAGAGAAGCACGAGCCTGGTAGGAAAAGAGGGAGAAGCAGACTCCTGCTGAGCAGGGAGCCCAACACAGGGCTCAGTCCCAGATCATGACCTGCCTAACCGACTGAGCCACCCAGGCGCCCCAGCAAATACATTTTTATCTTGTTTCTTAAAAGGTCTGGGTATTCAGTGTTGGTCATGTTTCTGAACACTTACTCATAATTGACGCTTTTTTTTTTTTCCTGTTTTTGTGCCATGGGAAAAAGAACTCAGATACCTGGCTCCATGGAAATATATTAATGACATCACCTTCACGAATGAGTAGAATGCTGGAGTGCATGTCTGCCCCTTGTGTGTCTCTGATCCTCTCAGTGCTGATCTTTAATGTGCCTTTGCTCTTTTTTTGCCTTTTTTATTTTTTTTATTTTTTTGGCACTATCAACTTACTCACCCCTTGGATGCTTCTCCTCCTAAGTCTGCAAGCTTCATATTTACTTAAGATGGAAGCATGAATTCATCAGTCTTGCTGGAAAGTAACTTAAACGCATTGGGACCCAGAGATACAAACAGCCTTTTGTGTGTGAGTGTACTGACTGTGACCCAAGGAAGCAATTTCGCAGGCATTCCAGATTCTCATGACCGTTCACGCTACTTTGAGATTAATTTTTTTTTTCAAGTTAATCTAATGAGAGATCGCTATGCTCTTATACATTGCAACTCTTAGTTTCTCAAGTCCTGATTCATCATTTTATTGGGCCTTTCTTAGTCATAAGTAACTTAGAATTTGAAATGCTAATGACAATACCACGGTACACACTCCAGCTGTTTTCCAGTGGTTCTCATTTTTCCCTCTGAAGTAAGGCAACTTTGATTTTCTGGAGTTTGTTTTCAATACAAGTTTGGAAGGATGCTTAATTAATTTAAAATCATGTGTACTTTACAAAAATAAAAATTGTAATGAAGAGAGATGCTTCAAAATAAAAAAAATGAGTGAATATATTAGCAAAGGAAGGTTCTACAAACTATACATCACTGATCTTGACTTTAGTTCTCATCAAGACTTAAACATATTAAGAAGTTTATAATTCTCTAGAATAATAAATTAGGAGTCATAGAGGCAGACAACATGGGTTAGTTCTTTTTACAAGATAAGTATGTCTTCTGTGTCATTAATGCACTAAGTAAAGTTGCTAATGATAATGAGGTGATAAATCAGCTAAGGAAATATATATAAAATTATGCTATTAAACATAGAAAAGACTAAAAAGTTTGCTGCTTATGAGTTCTACAAAGAGATTTATAGTAGAGAAGTAAAAGGGAAGTTAGTAAAATATTCCTGGGTCATTTAAAAAGAAAGACTAGATAATTATAACTTTTCCGTGAATTTCTTAAGAGATCTTACTAAAATCTAAATACATTACTTTCAAATTTCATGATCATGAATATCTTTTGTTTCTCGCTTATTGTGGATAGCTAAGTCAAGATTCATAAAGAAGCAAGATTTGTAGTTAACCCACTCCCTGTGAGTTAGGGCTGTTGTTATTCTCAGTACTAGGGAAGGAAATAGAATCTGACACAGCTAATGAGTAACAGAAGTGGGGTGGGAACCAGGAAGATCAGCCCCAAAGCCTGTTCTCTTTCTGGGATGTCCTAAGAGCCAGTGAGGTCCACACAGCTACCTGCCTCCTCACTTCCCATCTCCGCTCACCTGCCCTCACCTCTGCCCCATTCTGCCACTCTTGCCAAGGTCCCAGTCCTTCCTTTCATCTGACTTGCCTCTTTGTAGCCATCTGCCTCAGTTGGCCCTTTCTTCCTTCCCATGCCCTCTTCTCTTGGTTCCCCTGACTGCGCTCTGCTGATTTTCCTCCTATGTGCGCCACCCTGAGTTCCAGGCTTCCTTCTCCACAGCCACCCCGGATCGCGCTCCTCCTGGCCTCAGTCCTGGATTCTCCCTCCCTGGTGTTCGTGGTGGCACCTCTACCCCCGGCTCCAGGGCTGCTGCTTGAATCTCTTGCTGAATGAATGAATATGCATAAAACCTAGACAAAGATTTAAAAATATCTCCTTGGTTCAGTACAACATTTTTCCTGGGGTGAATTCTTAGTACTTACTTGTTTGGGCTATAATACAATTTGGTTACCAAAATCACTTTTAAAGACTTTTCCTTTTAAAGGTGGGTGAACGGAAATGTGTTTTATATATCATCAGCTGATTAGTTTTCTGGTTCGAGATGGGCATTCAACTTCCACACATCCAGAAATTACTTTGATATGTTATTATGGCTGGCATGTTCTTTGAAAAAAAAAAAAAAAAAAAGAAATTCTGCACTTTATGCTCATTTTTTATAATTTTTGATAGAAACTCTGACCCAAAAAATGTATGTGGGGTGGTCATTTTAAACCCAATGGTAAGAAAAATCAAGGGTAAGCATATCTGTTCTATAAAAGAACGAGAAGAAGAACGATGAAACTGTAGGTCATCACAGGAGCCCACAGGTGACAGAGCCCTCCACTCGTGGGCACCCTTCAGGCTGTTAGTTCTGGATCCCAGCCCCTGCTGGGGGAGCAAAATGCCAACCTGTCACCCCCCCCCACGCACCTTATAAACCAAACCCTAAGGAGGGCGTATAAAGCTCAGTAAGGCCTTTTCTCTAAAACCCTATTGCGGGACCTACACCTCATTTCGTCTCTTCCTTTCTGCATTTTCCCTCTTTCTTTTCCTGTAATTATACCGTCTTAGAGTCCTAAAATTTTACTCCTGCTGGATGTCTTCAGGATCCTCTGGTCTAGCCTTCCTCCATATTAGAGATGTAGGGAGCTGAAAGTCAAAGGATTCTTTGTTCCCACAGTCATAGCTTATTACTGGCAA